TCACGTCCTATTGTCTCATTACTATTTCTCAGGGAAGAGCCCTCCACTCTTTTTTTGTCAACAGAAGACACTCAGATGCCAATTTCTTTCTTCTTTTGAGTTTGAGAATTGCCTTGGTTTAGATTAGATGCAATAGTCAGTGTTTGGGAGAAGACAATTCACACTTACACCTTATCCTTGTGGAGAAAAAGCTTCACAGCATATATCAACGCTTTTGGTGTTCGGTCCAGCTCCTTACTGCATGGTATTTCCTTTTTATCCTCTTATTCTACGGTTCATTTTACGTCTGTCAGTCTTCTTGTTTTTTCCTTTGTACTTAATTTCCTTTTGTTCTTCTACTACTGTAACTTTCTAGCTTTGTACATGCTTTGTTAATTTTAATATTATTTTGCTTTTTTTGGGGAAAAAAAAGAAATGGGACCGAAACGTAAGAGGAGTCTCTCCTCCACCCTCCTTTTTCAAACATATGCATGAGGCCTTATGTTTCTCTTTCTCACCCACGCACAAAGCGCACACAGAGGGGAGATTATTCTTTGTATATAAAACACGTGTGAATGTGTGTGTAACTCTGTACTACTATATATTTCCTAATAATATAATGCTCAACACAGGTTGATGGCTAAAACCAAAGAGATAAATATCCATATAAAAAAGAAACATGTCATCGGACGTAGCAAACGTAATTAACAACGATATCTCCAAAACAATAATTATGCAGCAACACAGTTAAATCAAATTCTCATTTATATATGTATCGATATTCTTAGGCCTTTAATTAAATTCCATTCATATTATTCATCTTCTTCAACAGCCCCCGCCCCTCTTATTCAGCCTTGGCCACACACTTGTCAATGAAAGAACACTGGGCCCAGGTTTGCTTACTTCTTCTCAGAATCTGAGCCTTATGCATCTTAAAGTCCTTTGAACGAGCCAGCGTCTTCGCCAATTCTCTGTGACACTTCTTCCCTGCCACCTTCACGAGCTTGTTACAGCAAACATAGCTCACATGGATTCTCTTATAGAACAAGAAATCTGCCACCTGTTGGCCACACTTGTCTGTGAGCTTCTCGCCGCACTTTCCCAGCCAATCGTAGTATCCCTTATACGGTTCCGGTGGCAACTCGTGGCCTTCCAAGATCTCTTCTTCTCAGCTGATTCTTCTTCTGCTAGGGTTTTTTTAACTGCACATGAAGAACATATCAGAATGATGATGCAGAAGACGAGAAGTTGAGTACTGTGTTTTCCCATTTTAGGAAGAAGGTTTGCGTTGGAGATTTCTGTGGAGGGAGAAGGTTTCTTTATATGTGGTGGATTGTGGGGGAGGGGTTGAAGGGGGTTACTGGTTTGAGAGATGCAAGTTATGGGCTTTTAATTTCTTCCTGTGAATTTAATTTTTTTTGAGTTATAGGATGATTATTATACTAGGTTTGAAGGTTGATTCGTTACTTACGTTACAAAAAATAATGTACGTTTAGGTTAAATTTTGATTTGATTTGCTGGCGTTTACAAAAATTATATACATATAAATCTCCTCTTTATATGTAGATATTTATCTTAAGTTGTGAAATTTTACAAATGAATCCTCTTATGCTCTTATAGATTCATGCAAATAAATTCTGTGTTAATAAATTTGATTGGCGCTGGCACACATAGATGTTCCTGTTAGAGGGTTTGCATGCATAACAAAACTCAAAACTCAAAACTTGAGGAACTATGAGGAAAATTAGATGACCTTAGTCAATAGCATAAGACATATTTAGATGAGGTTTGATTGAATGAAGTGATTTTGTTCCTTAACTCAAAAACAAATATAATTTCACTGAAGCTCTGATTTTTTTAGTTAGAAATCAGAAGAATGTATTTAAAGTTGATACCTCCATATTATCTATGCATGTAATTAAGGATCCTCAACGAACAGCTTATTACAAAAAAGAAAATTAAAAGGATGCTTAACAGAGCATTGATGATATAAAAACACTTTGTTAGATCCAATGGTTACGTTATAGATTAGTTTTTTGTGCACTTTGTTAGATCCAATGGTTATAGATAGTTTGTTGTTGGCATTGGTTATGGGTAATTAATTGTACACAGCAAAAGAACCATTTTTGAACCCAAGTACTCCTGAATGCACATGCTTTCTGAACAATTTCAGCAAACTTAAATGCTATGAGGGTCCTTCCTTTCCTTCATGTCTCCATATTTTAAACATGCTTTGGAGGGAAGCCGAGCAACTGTCTTTCTGCTACAGAACAATTTGTGAGGAGGAATGAAAACTGCACGTGAAAATAATACCAGTGCATTCACAGATGCATTTAACGCTTTTTGTTGCCTCAGTTTAATAAGACAATACTCCTCTGGTCCTATTTTATAGGACAGAGAGAAGACTTTTTTTTCTCTCCTATTTATAGGACATGAGAAAATTTTTTATATGGATGTACTATTTTATCCTTTATTTATTATTATGTGTGACTTTATTTATATAATGTATAATGTATATTAAACAGGGATAAGTTACAAGATGTTTGATTTTAAATGAGAGTTAACGAAATTTAAGATTTTTCTTGATGTGAATAAAATATGTTGGAAATGATTTATAAATAGAACTATAATATGGAAATGCTTTGTTCTGTGTATTTACTTGCATTAATTAAAAAGCAAAATGTTTTGAGTTCGGCAGAATTGATTATGAAATATTCAATCTATTAAGATAAGCACCCGGCAACGCACCGGGAAGAAGGGGATCTAGTTTGAGAAAATATGAGGAAAGTTAGAAGGGTTTATTAATTATTAATTAAGTTTTAAATACAAAAAGAGTTATTTGCATGCGATTTGAAGTCTGGGGGAGGTTTTTTTGGGGTAATTTAATGTTATGTTTTAATTTTATTTATCGGTTTTGTTTGACAATTTAATTTTGTTCGCAGCATTATTTTCAGTCTTTAATTTTATTTCATATTTCTTTTCGATGAACGATTTTATTTCATATTTCAATTTAGTCTTTTAATTTTACTTCAGGGTTTTTTTTTCATGTTTTTAATTCCATAAATTTTTTTTTTTAAAAAAAAACTACTCAAATATTGACGGCTTTTTTTTTTTTAGTCAGTACTCAGTAGAATTCTGGTTTGATTGAGGCATTTTGGATGTTGACGAAAACTGAAAGCGTCAAATTCCAAGCCTTCCCCTATCATAAAAAGATTTTAAAAAGGTAAGATTATTCGTAATTTATAAAAATATAATTTGGTATATATCTGAAAAACTTAGGAAAAATCACTTAAAAAGACACTTAAATAATCCAAATTCTTATTTGGGTTACTAAATTTGTCAAAGTCTTAATCAAGTCACACAATCTAAAGAGAGATTTTAAAATTTTATGAAATGACATTAATGCTCATTTCATTGGAAACCTAGAGAGATGATGATTTTCTATCATTTTCATATTGTGTAAGAGCTCTCAACAAGAAAAATTTAGCATCTACCAGTACAAAGTTGGAGAATCGATTAAGAAGGCAATGATGAGTTAGTTTTTATATTTGATCTTCCTCCCTTAATAATCATAGTTTTATCCTAACAGAAAATTGTTCATTTATAATTGAAACATGTTAAGTGCGAAACGGAACATATAAATTTTTAAGATTGTACTGTGATAAGGTTTTATTCAAAAACTTATTATAAGTATGTTATGTTGATAGAGAGTTGTTAATTTAGAATTAAAATGTTAACTTTTAAGATTGTATTAGTGATTAAATTTTATTCAAAAAATTGTTGCTATAGAGATAGAAGGTTGTTAATTTAGAATTGAAATATGTTAATTATGAAATGGAACATGTTAATTTTCAGGGTCTTATTGTCATCAAGTTTTATTTAAAAACTTATCGTAACTGTGTTTGGAAGACATAAAGCTATTAGTTTAGAATTGAAATTTGTTAACTATGTGATTGAACTTATAATTTTTAAAATTGTATTGTGATTAAGTTTTACTCAAAAACTTATACAAGTTTGCTATGGAAATAAAAAGTTATTAATTTAGAATCGAAACGAATCAATTGCGAAATGAAATATGTTTTTTTTTGTAAGTATATATATATTCCTATTGAAGATAATCATATTCGAGGCACTGACAAACACTAAATGCGAACTCCTCTTTTAGCGGGATTTGAATTTTGATTCATCAAGTTGTGAAGGACTGATAATTTTACTAGACCCAACTTCTATTGATCGAAAGCCTACTTTTTTAACTACATATTACTTTAAGTATGTTATTTTTTACGACAATCATATGATATCCAATAGCATTAGTCAATACATTTTAAAGGATTAGCTTTTTTTTTGGTTAAAACCAACATTGTTAGTTTTTTGGCCAATTAGTATGTTAAAATTTTTTTACCTTCATTATATATCACCTTCCATCCGCCCAGGTAACCCAAATCCAGTTGAAACCCATTGACGGAAAAGTAACCCGGAGGAAGCCCAAAATGAAACCTAAAATCCAGTTGAAACGCGATCAGTTGGGTCCATTCATATGTCCAATAAATGCAAAGCGTGACGTCACAAATTTTAGAAACCCAGCATAAACCCCTTGGTGTTCGAACGTATCAAACGGCTCTCAGTTGAAACTCGATAGTTAAAATTGCTGAATTCGCAACTAAACAGTCATATCTACTTACCGGCTCCGAAAAATTTGGTTTGTAATAGTCAGATATCACTCCTCTCTTTATTTAAGATGTGATATTTGTACATGTCAAAAAGTTCGCGGATTGATTCGCTCTCACTGGGAATAGTTGCTCAAGTTGTTATTACCTGTCCTCAGCTTATCGTCAAATTATTTTATGTGATCTTCTTTGCAATTTTAGTATTTTTGCTGTATAGTCTTCCGGTTACGATTATCACGTGTTAATTGTCCTCTGTTTTGATGAATGTAGATAGATTGATTGATTTTATGTCTACTCTTGGATAAAATTCACCTGGGTGTCTCCTGAAAAGTCAAATTGAGGTCAATTATTGCTCAGTTACTGAATATGTTAGGGTTGGAATTGCGTTTTCATACGATTGTTGCCCAAGCCTTCGTCATGGTAGATTTTTCAATTTTTGGGTCTTCTCTTTTATGAGTATAACCTGAAGGAGCTGTATAGTGGTATTGCATGGAAATAATCTCAAGCTTATGATTGACTTATTCATTGTTTTTGATTGTATCATCTTATACTTTATCACCTTTCATTACCTATCGCCAACAAATGACTCTTCTATACAGATGCATTATGTCTGATATGTCGGCATCACAAAAGAAAGCAAATAAGTTGTTTATGTCGCTCAAGGAAGGAGAGAAAAAGCCATTTGACCTTTTACGCAGTGTATATGGTAAGTGTTGACATTGAAAGTACACAAGACACCTAGAGGTTAAAGACGATGCTTGAAGTCAATGAATTTGAGATGTATAAAGTTTGTCCTTAATTTTCTTAAGGCATCAACTGAGATGCAATGCAAATAGAAGCATTGCAAACTGTGTTCCCTGGAGAGAAAACTGTGATCAGGAACACACACGGAAATCTTATCCAATAAATTTGTCTCTAGTGTTTCCTTGGGGAGGTTCTACTAAGGTGTAGATGGATTATTTTTGATGCTGAAGGTTACAATTCAATATTCATTGTTGTTGCCGTGTGAATAATGTTTTTTTTTTTAATACCATGGCGATGCAATTCTTTATGTAACCTCAATGCACCAATAACTTACTTATTGGTATTAAAGTAGAAAGTCGGCTACTTTGAAAATCTAAATCGCCATATTAAATATTTACATACCTTGAAAATTTTGTTTTGCCATTGATCACGGTGACCTTGTTCTGTGTTCCGGTGCAAAAATTGAAATTAGTCAAATATTACATTTTTTTCAATCCATCTCCTTAAATATAATGATGTTCTCCATGGTTTGCTAATGAAATTTGCAGACGGGTGCATTGCTGGAGGTGCTGCTGGTGTTGTTGTAGAAACAACTTTGTATCCAATTGACACTATAAAAACTCGACTCCAGGTGCTTTAAGTTTATTGAGTGTAATTTTTTTTTTTTAAAATACTTCATCTCTCAATAACTTGTATAAATTTACACTTGTACATTGTTATCCATGAAGTATCAAGAGTGGTTGTTAGTCTTAAAATGCTGAGGCATAACACTACTTTCCTCATGTCGATTACAGTGTGGCCATCACAACTGGTTTCATATCACAATTTGAACTCTGTGAATGTCATTAATTACTTTTTAGATAATATGTGGTTCACATTACCCTTATAGATGACATGTGAGACTTTGTCGACATGGAACTTTGTGATTTAATCAACCGTGTTTTCCCAATTTGTGATATTTTATTTTCCTTGAACACGAATGCTTGATTAACAGTCATATCATTCTGCACAAAGTAGTTTATTTTTACTTTCAATCACGTGCTTTTGCTGTTTATCCCCTTGCAGTCATTGACCATTTGACGTTGTCTATGTTCAATTTCTGGTTTGCCCTTCTAATATGCATTGTTAATAATTTTGTTTCAGTTATTTTACTGTTTTTCTGATAACAGGCTGCCCGTGGTGGAGGGAAAATCATTTTAAAGGGTCTATATTCTGGATTGGCTGGAAATCTTGCTGGTGTCTTACCGTGAGTAAATGGTTTATCAAGTAATAAAAAAAAGTAGACTTTTTATTTCAAGTTTTCTTATATGTCATCTCCTACGCAATCTGTATGTGATTATTTTAATGTTGATCCTTTCAATCTGTAATCTGAATGTCATTTATGATCATTCAGCACCTCCAAGGTAATAATTGATCATAGCTTACATGTAATGAATTCATGCTATTTATTTTAAGCTGCTGTTTTTACCATTTAGGAGTTGACAAGGAATTTTTATTTGTCCTCAAATCGTCCCTAGCTTTCTGTAAAGATGGTTTGTGCATCATATTTGAATCTTGTATAAAAATTGGCAAATGGCATAGGGGCTATCAATTATTGTTATTTCTGAATATTAAACTTTCCCAGGATACTTCAGAATCCACGGCTTGATTGCTTTTTATATAATACATATCATATTGTAGGTTTAGGCACTACAATGTACAATATAAATAAAAGTCATTCTATTTTACTGTGCATGTGCGCAAACACAGATCATGTAAACTGAACCTTTTCTACCAATATTTGACTTGCGAGAAAATCACGTTGGCCTTTATAAGATCTCTTAATCTTTGGCAATAGTAGTGGGCCTAGCTGATTGAATTGCATGGTGCTTATGCCTGATAGACCATTCTCTCTCCCATTCTTTGTAGAGCGTCTGCGATTTTTGTTGGTGTATATGAACCCACAAAACTGAAACTGCTAGATTCCCTGCCTGGAAATCTCAGTGCTGTTGCTCATTTTGTAAGTTGGTTCCATATGAAAAAGGACAATCCATTTGTTATTATTGAAGCAATAATATTTAGCTTGCAGCTTGCACAACAGACACTTGTGTGAGAATAACATTTTTTACCACTCCACTTTTTATTGCCTTCTAATGAGCTGAGATATATCCTAGGATAAACAAAAAAAGGGCGACAACAAGTTTCACCTGTGAAAGTGAAAGTGAAAGTGAAAGTGTTAGCGAATCATTCCTTAATATAATATGAACTGTAGGAAATCTGCAAAGTATCAGTCAAACATGTATAATTATTTTGTTAACAGTTCATCATGGAGATTCATTTTGCTTTTATGTTTTGCTAAGACAACTGACTTTTGCAGTTCAAATGAAGTCAATTGCTTTGTATGCTTTGTTTGACATTGTAAACTTAAAAATTATAGCTTTGACAAGAAGTACTCTTTAATCCAAAGTAGAGTAATAAAAGGTATTGGAAAAAGCAGGCAAATAAATATATGGAAGGAAATAAGTCCCCTGACATAAAATTTGTGGCTTGTGTTTAAAAATTACAAGCAGTGAATTTTAACAGCATTGCACGAAAACACAATTTGTCTGTCTTAAAATAAAGAATTGGGTTTTCAGACATGTTAGTGTGTAAGAAACCATTTCTGACTAACAAACTGATGACAATGTAGAGTTTTTAGGCTTAACGTGTTATTTACACCTCACAATTTTTAATTAGACTTATTTTCTGTTAAAATGAATGAGTTATTTTGTTCCTAATATTGAGACCTAATTTTGGATTGATGTTAATATTATTAAGACCGTATAATGACCCTTATGCCCTGTACCTTAAGTGCAATATTGGATTATTAATAACACGTCTTAAATTCTTAGTGCTTTGTTTTGTTTAATTATCAGGGTACATATAAAAGTATCTTGAATGCACGCATTTGTGTATGAGTGTGTGGTTATTTTAATAGTCCTGAGCTCAATATATAGGTTGCAGGTGCCATTGGTGGTGTGGCTTCTTCTCTTGTTCGTGTTCCAACTGAGGTAACTAGCCTTTTCTCTTATATTGTCATATTTTTTCAAACTTCCATGAGCTTGGAATTGAATCAATTGATGACAATGCTTATAGGTTGTTAAGCAAAGAATGCAAACTGGACAGTTCAGTTCAGCTCCTGCTGCTGTCCGTCTCATTGTTGCCAAGGAGGGTTTCAAAGGTCTCTATGCGGTATGTAGCACCTAGTTGCAACTGGCATGTTGTAGGAATGACCATTTAAGCATTTGTGTATTACAACTGATTGAGTAGATTATTGCGCTGTAACTTGTCCTAGTAGATATTCTCATTTCATTTCTTATTCTGGAAGAAATAAAACTTTGGATTGGTTTATGTCAAAGTATGTGTGAATATGTTGATGCATGCTGGACTATGATGACAACGGCAGTGCCATCTTTTGCTGATCTATTTAGTTATCATGTATAGGACCATATGCAAACCTTGCTCTTGTTTTGTTTGCCTTGACTTACATTTTATTTTCCTGACATTGCAGGGATATGGATCCTTCCTGTTGCGAGATTTGCCATTTGATGCCATACAATTTTGCATATATGAGCAGCTTCGGATAGGTTATAAGTTAGCGGTAACAACATATATGAGTCCTCTTGGTTTTTAAGGACATTTTGATTGGGTTTAAATTACCTGTAAATGAAATTTTTGGTTCATGCCATGGAATATTTCACAAAACTAAACCGAATATGTTCATTGCAACATTGCCATCAATTTAAATTACTTATGGGATGTGGCATCATCTTGTGGAATATTATGGTAATTTAACATTGTAGAAAGTGGTAATTGTTAATATTTGGTTTTGCTCTCTCTGCAGGCCAAAAGAGATCTAAATGATCCAGAGAATGCTATGCTTGGTGCTTTTGCTGGTACTTCATTTCCATTATTTTTCGGGTTGAAACTTGATAGTATATGCATGACTTTTTTTAACGTTGTTATAATAACTTTTATTTTTTTTTAAATCTTGTGTGCTTTTATTGTCTATCTTGTTTCTGCCACCTTCTGGAGCTCTTGTCAAATTGTACAGCTGGCTTTCTGTAGAATTTCTAGCTGACTTAATGGTAGAGGATGGATGTCATAATCAGTAAAGTTTCCTTTTCTTGATTTTGTGTGTTTGGTTTTGTGTTGGAAACCATCAAAATCATGTTAAACCAGACATGGACTTAGTGTAAGAAGCCAAGTTGAAGCAGTATGAGAGGCGCTGTCATAGTTGTGGCTCAGGTAATAATGTGTATGGCTGTTGCTCGAAGACTACATTACAATGGAATATGGTAGAATGCTCCAAGACTAAACTGCTACTTGCTTGTCCCAGTCTACATTAGAGTATGACAGGACCGTGTGAAAATATGTCAAAATATTTGCACTCTTGAATTGTTGCTGAGACTTCCAGAATGTGACCTATGTTACATTAGGACTTCTTTAATAAATGAAAATTATATGTAAAAGACTAGACGTATGGATAATGAGGTTGTAACTTGTATCCTTAGGAAGTATTGCATGAATTAGTGAGGCCCAAAACTCCCTCTAGGAAATATCACGATAAAATTCTCAATCATGTATTGATACAGCTAACAATTTCAATAAAATAAAGTAGATCCGCGGAATTTATAAAGTTTTGCTTGTTAGAAAAGGGTGAGATGGAAGCAAAGTGCTATACCATTCATGCCACATAGGATGAATCAAAATGAGTTGTAGATTACAAGGATAATATATCAAAAACTAAAAGACAAGGGATTGAGTCATAGGTGAGACAAAAGTTCAAGGATGAGTTGCTAATTGAAAGATTGAGTTATAATTATAAGAATTAAAGTTGAAGGACTAAAAGATTAATTTTCTTAATATCTAATATCTTTACATCAGCTATTAATTTCTATAAACCAAAATAGGAATAAGGCATCGTTTGCAATCATGGAAGTTGACGTGAGAAAGCAAGCAAGAAGAGAAGTATCAGATGCTTATTTTGAAACTAGTTAAGAAAATTGGCATAACTTGTACCCCCTCTAGTCCCTAATATAGGTGCTGATGGGGGGTTGAATTTTATTCTAAATATAAAATCTTAATTCATTTTGTCTCTCATGTTTATTATTTTTTCGAATTTAATTTACTTAATTTATAAACTGATATATAATCTAATGTCGCATTAGGATATTTGAAGATTATGTCACATTGGTTATAACTAACTAATTATTTTAAGAAGATTAGGTCACATTTTTTTTATAATCAACAAATTTATCTAATTTTTTTAATTTATCCAAATTAATTACTTATCTCTTATATTAAGGATGGAAAGGAGCAATTAGTTGGTTTCCTTTGTCTTGGGATGAAGATGGGAATATTTCCTGGTCATTGTTGAGATGCGTTCCACTTATTGTTTGTTTGAACTTTAAGTTGATAGAATCTTATTTACATGCCTGCTGCAAACGAGAAAATAATAACTTAGAAATTAAGGAGTTTATATAACCGATGGGTCAGCTATGTCGAAACTGATAATGGTTAATTTGATAACCTGCAGGTGCTGTAACAGGAGCAGTTACAACTCCTCTGGATGTTGTAAAAACCAGATTGATGGTTCAGGTTTAGATAATCTGTCCTTCCTATTACTCTCCATGAAAAATGTGGTAAGTGGGTTTGGCTTGCTTTATGATTTGACATTTGTTGTGCTCTCATCAGGGATCACAAAACCAGTACAAAGGTATTAGTGATTGTGTGAGAACAATAATCAAAGACGAAGGAACTCAAACTCTCTTCAAGGTATGACTATTTCATACTATGCAGTGTTAACATTTTTTTTTTTTTTTAAATCATACTTTGTAATTCTCTTTGTTATAATCAAATTCCAAATGGTATATACACACAAAATGATGCGTCTGGTTTCATATTGGATCCTGAACTTGTGGCTTCGGTGGATTTCAACATAAAACCAGATATGCTCTTGGATACATATCCTGTGCATTACATAGAATATGAGCAATAAATTGTACTATTTACAAATTATGAATAATGTTAATTAGTGTCAGATTAAAAATAGGGTTATTACAATGTTAGTTCCTTTTTTTTTTGCCAACACAATGTTTGGTCCTATTGTTTCTTGCAAACACAATGTTTGGGCTAGATTCTTATTAAAATATAGGGATTAATGTTTAAAATGGAAAAAAATTTCTTGAGGGACCAAAACTTATTGTTTGAAATTATAGAAACCAAAACTAAAATGAGGGTAAACCATAAGGATCAAACATTGGGTTAACCCCTTAAAAAATAATACATTGATATGTTGATTCCAAATGGCTCACTTACAAAAAAATTTCGCTATCCCTTTTGTTTTATTTCCCTCCTTGTTCCTTACAGGGTGTGGGGCCAAGAGTTTTGTGGATAGGCATTGGAGGTTCAATTTTCTTTGGTGTTCTTGAGAAGACAAAGCAAATTCTTGCCCAGAGGCACCAGCAAAATGAGGCCGAGAGGCCAGTTTCTCCTAGCTCCAGAATGAGCTGATTCTCTAACTCCACTAGTTTTGTATCATCCACGCCCTTATATTTAGAAAATTCATCAATTTCTTTAACCTTAATTCGTATGATACCATTCCTAAAGAGGGTGGAGAAATGCAAGTTCGGCTGTAATAACCTTGTGCACGTTACGTTTTTAGCCCAAAAGGCTCGAGAGAAGATTTGTTGAGTAATAACGTAAAAAAAGGGCCCCGAAGTTAGATTTGAATTGTTTAAAATAAGTGATGCTCCTTTTTGTTAGAGTAACATCAAAAGAGCCCAAGCCCATCACTGATGCAGGCTATTAGTCCGGCCCATTTCCATAGGGCTACGTGTCCCTATTCTCTCATGTATTGCCTTTATATATCAAGTACTGTACAACCCTGCAAATCATTAAAATTAAATGAAATATTCAGATTCTTGTATCTCTTTACTTTCGCTGATTACTTTCTTTGCCGCGCTAAGGCTTTATGCCTTCTTTATGTTATTGGAGCCTTAATCTCTATTCTTATGGCGGAAGGAATGCCTATTCGGAGCTCCTTGGGAGTTCTTCTATTAGCACTATTTCAACTCCCTCTTTATCTTCTACCTCCTCTCCATCTCATTTTCTTTTTATTAAACTGGACAGTGATAATTATGAAATCTGGAAAGCTCAAATCATTCGATAATTGCATGGACAACAGCTCTTTTCTTTGCTTGATGGCTCCTCTATGGCACCAGCAAAATCTTTATCTGACAATACTCCTAACCCAGCTTATAAGAAATGGTTTTAACAGGATCAATCTGTGCTTTTGGTTTTAATTTCTTCTCTATTTGAACCCCTTATTGGGCAAGTTATTAAGAACAAGACTGCCAAATTCATGTGGCTTGCTCTTGAACGACTATTTGCTCACAAATCTCATGCTAGACTTTTACATTTACACAGTCAGCTCACTAATCTCAAAAAAGGTTCTGAATCCATTTCTGAATATTATAAGGTTGTGATGATTGTTGAATCACTAAGTATTGTTGGTAAACCTATTGATGATGCTGATTTTGTTAGTTGTATTCTAAATGGCCTTAGTTCATAGTTTGACTCTATTGTTGCTTCACTCACTGCCCAAACTGGAGTTTTATCTCCTGAAGAAATCTTGAGCTATTTATTAATTCATGAGGCCAGACTCCCGTCTTTGCATACCTCTTCTGAAATTACTGCCAATTTGAATACAAGAGTTCCTAATCAGTATCAGCAAAAATTTTGAGGCTTTTACAGGGAAAGAGAACGTTCTGGTCGCTTTTGTTGTTACAGAGGTTATAGAGGATGTGGCTGTAAAGGACGTAGTGGAGGAAGAGGCTATCAGGAGGATGAACAATGTTGTCCTTATTGTGATAAATAGGAACACAGCTCAAACATGCTATTACAAGCCAACTCCTCCACCTGCTTCATTGGCTCAAGCAAACTATGCTACATACTCATTTGTCCCTAACAGTACTTGGTACTTTGACACTAGTGCTACAAATCATATGACCTCTCATATGTCCAACCTCAACCTTCACTTTGAGCCATATAAAGGGAGTGCATCAGTGCATAATAGTAATGGCACCCCCATGCCAATAGCTAATCAAGGTTCAAGTCAATACCCTATTTCTTCTAGTAACTATTTTCTCTCTGATCTTCTGCATATTCCCTCTATTTCTAAAAACTTATTCTCCGTTGCTCGTTTATGCCTAGATAACTTTGTTTATTTTAAATTTTATTCCTCTCATTTTCTTATGATGGATCTTCACACAAAGCGACTTCTTCAAGGACCAACTAAGAATTTTCTTTATCCTTCACCTGTTCAAATTCCACAAGCTACTTTTGGAGTCAAAACATCAGTTGATCAGTGGCATGCCAGGCTTGGACATCCAACTTTTAGGATTATGCGTTGAGTGCTCTCCTACTATTCCCCTCTAAGTTATCCGTCTTAGTCTGTGTCATGTCCCACTTGTAATAAATCCAAGAGTCATGTTCTTCCCCATCCCTTATCTCCCATCGACCCTCTTTTTCTTGTTTTTAGTGATGTTTGGGGCCTTGCTCTTGTGTTATCTTTGTCTGGTTTTCATTATTATGTATCGTTTGTTGATGACTTTACAAGGTTCACCTGGTTCTATCCTTTGAAAGCTAAATATGATGTCTCTCATGCTTTCCTGCTTTTTCTGAAGCAAGTAGAAAATTTATTTAACACTAAAATTAAATTCCTTCAAACTAATGGTGGGGGGAGAGTTTCAGGCCCTTCATAAAATTTTACAATCATCTGGCATAATTGATCACATCACTTGTCCATATTCATGTCCTCAAGATGGCTCCGTTGAGTGTAAACACAGGCATATAGTCGAATCTAGACTTGCTCTTCTTCATCATGCTTCCTTACCTTATCAATTTTGCACCCATGCCTTTTCCTCAGCAGTTTATCTCATTAATTGTTTACCGTTTGTCACTCTTAATTATAAACCACCTTATGAATTATTATTTAATCACTCTCCTGATTATTTCTTTTTAAAAGTTTTTGGGTGTTCTTGTTGGCCTCACCTTTGTACCTACACACATAATAAGCTAAAACCTAGGTCCACTCATTGGTTTTTTATTGGGTATGCTATTTATCATCATGGATACTTGTGTTTTGATCCCAAAACTGGACAAATTTTTGTATCTCGTAATGTTTTATTTGTTGAACATGAATTTCCCGCACTTCTTTTCTTTTCTTAGCCCACTTCTTAGTCCGATACCTCTTCTCAGACTTCCCTTTTGCCCATTCTCACTACCCCTAAACCCAGCCCACTACCAGTACCCATACCTGACTCGCATACTACTTCACCCACTAATATACTTGAATAATCACATTCCTCATTAGACCTGAACCTTACCGCATCTTCTTCTCCTTCAACGACGACTTCTCCTAACTCTTCTGCATCTTCCCAGTCGCCTACACCTCTGCCATCCTTTCAACCTAATTGCATGGTAACTTGTGCTCAGACCCACTCTCTTAGATTGAAACAATTTACGAATAGAACCATTCGCTGGTCTTCACATGCTCTTCCCACATCGATTCACACACCTCCCAATGCACCCACCTTGGTAGCTAAGGCTTTGAAATAACCAGAGTGGCGCACTGCCATGAAAGCAGAGCTTGATGCGTTGATTGCAAATCACACATGGTCTTTGATTCCTCCTTCTCTATCGGAGAATGTTGCTGGTTATAAATGGGTCTTGCTCTAGATAAGTACAAAGCTCGTTTGGTAGCTAAGGGTTTTCATCAAGCTTCAGGCATTGACTATCATGACACATTCTCTCCAGTGGTTAAGCCTGCAACAACTGGGTTACTTCTCTCTCTGGCTATCTCCTTTGGTTGGGTTATTTGTCAAATTGACATACAAAATGCCTTTTTAAATGGTGATTTAGAAGAGGGTGTGTATATGTCTCAATCACCAGGTTTTCGAAATAATGCCTGTCTTGACTATGTTTGCAAATTGCAACGCTCTATTTATGGCCTTAAGCAGTCACCTTGTGCCTTGTTCTCCAAGTTAAGCAATTGTCTTATTCAAATGGGTTTTACTTCTTCAAAGGCTGATTCCTCTTTGTTTATTAGGAAAAATTCCTCTTCAATATTTTATGTCTTGATATATGTTGATGGCATACTGGTTATTGGTTCTGATTCGGCTTCTGTTCAAAATTTACTCACCACCTTACACTCTTATTTTCCTGTCAAAGATCTTGGTCAACTCAATTATTTCCCTGGTATTTAGTGTCACCTTACTGCAACTGGATTATAGTTATCTCAGCATAAATATATCTCTGATCTCTTGGCCAAGACAGGAATGCTTCATTGTAATCCTGAAGAAACATCCATGTCATCCAAGTCCAAACTATCTGCATTTGAGGGCTTTGCAGTTAAAAATGGCGAGCTGTACAAAAGTGTGGTTGGTAGCTTACAATATTTGTCTTTCACCAAGCCAAATATTTCATTTGCTGTCAACAAGGTGTGTCAATTTCTTCATCAACCTCGTGACACTCATTGGAACGTAGTTAAGAGAATTCTTCGGTATTTATCCAATACTATTGATCATCCTCTTAATATTCGATGATAGACGATCTATAGGTGGTTATTGTGTGTTTTATGGTCCAAATCTAATCTCTTGCAGTTCTAGAAAACAGTCAATAGCTAGCTAGGTCATCTACTGAAGCAGAATATAAAGCCCTTGCTCTTGCCACTTGTGATTTAATTTGGTTACAGTCCCTATTGGGTGAACTTGGCATTCATCTTCCCCAGCCCCTTACTTTGTGTAGGGATAATCTTAGGGCCACATATTTGGCCTCCAATCCAATCATACATGCTAGAATAAAGCACAATGAATTGGATTATCATTTTGTCATAAAGAGAGAGAGAGTTGCAGCCAAAACTTTGCAAATTTCTATAGTGTCATCAAAAGATCAACTTGCCAATATATTTATCAAGCCACTTGATGCTCCTCAGCTTCAAGTTTCTAAGATCAAGTCTCACTATCACTCAGATGCTGCTCGACTTGCGATGGGATGTTAGGGTAACATCAAAAGAGCACAAGCCCATCACTGATGCAGGATAATAGTCCAGCCCATTTACCATTAGTATGTTGTAATGAATCCTAGAAGTTTCCATAGGGCTACGTGTCCTTCTTATTCTCTCATGTATTGCCTTTGTATATTGAGCACCGTACAAATCTGCATATCATTGAATGAAATATTCAGACTCTCATATCTCTTTACTTTTGCTGCTATTATTACTTTCTTTGCCGCACCAGGGATTTGCATTGGGTGCTCATCAGGATCTGGACGGTCCAGATTTTATTTTATTTTTATTTTTTAAAAATAATTATTTTAATATGTATAGAATAAAAAATAAAGATAATCTCTTAACTATCATACTTTTAAAAAATAATTTTTTCTATTTTAAAATAATTATTTAAAAATATTAAATATGGACCGTCCAGATCTAATCTGGACGGTCCAGATTTCTCATCACTTGATGAGCACCGAATGCAGGCCCCCGCACACCAGGACTCTATGCCTTCTTTACCTTTAACCATTATTTTGCGTCTATAGTTAATTTTATATTTTTTTATTAAACGAATTCTATCAATTTCATTTTTTTTTTTGGGCCAGAATCAATTCTATTATTTTCATTGTTAGTGTCATAGTCATACATATCGTTGGGAAGAAAAAAAGGCTCAAAACACATCTAAACATCCTGTCTTGACAAATAGTACTCGTATTATTTATTTGCAAAGGACATCCACGTAATGGTGTGGAAAAGCAGGAACGTGAAGCTGATACGATATATACTTAGCAGATATATAAGGTACCGTTTTAAGATTCCATTTCCGAGTGCCATGCCCAAAATGAACTCTTGCTTCCGCCATCTCAATA